ACATAGCCCCCATACCTTAAGGTAAGACGTATTCTACGTCAAAATGCTGACAACAGAGAGAAAAATTAAAAACGCAGTTATACTATTTTTGGCCCCTAGTTCTGTAAATATATGGATTTTTTCATGTGTTTAAAAAATGTTTGGTTTTTGTCGCACGGCGTTTTATTAGTTGAAAGTTATCAAAAACTATCAGCTTTTTTGAAGTTGAGGGAGCAAAGTGACATTTCATTTTGAGAGGAAGCTGCTAGTTTCTGCTAGAAAAATTTTTGCCACCAAGAAAATAGCTGATCGAAAACATTTGGTCGGTTTACGCAAATCACAAATTTAAATTTGATGGTTTGGAAGTTAAAAATGAATAATAAAAGTAATTAAGAATTCGTTTAATCAATAAACTGTGCCAGGATCACTTTTCACGTTTTCAATTTTACACTTCTGAATGTAAACAAAAATTCGATCAGCTGTTTGTCCACTTGCAAGTTTCTGCAAATTTTCTGTTCGCGTGCTATTCTGGATATTTTTCTATTGTGAGATAACAGAGACATTTTGCCGGAATTTCGCTGTTTGATATTTTTTAATGGAGATTTTAAACGAACGTACTATGGCTTACGTGAGCTGCTTTCAAAATACATACATACATAGGTATGTACTTTAACAAATCGAGTTAACAAAAAAAATTGTGTTAAAAAAATATTTCCAAAAAATTACCTAAGATGATAGAAATGTAAGAGGTCCGCATAAAAATGCTTGAACATTTTATCAACGGAATCAAAGTACAGAACCCGATTTTTGCAGAAATTTTCAAATTGGTCCAGATCACGTAAGTCTTAGTAATTTTCCGAAATATTATAGCGAAAATCTTAAAATATAATAAATGTGTTTCAATGAAAAAATAGTGGCGATTTTTTTTTGCATGGCGAGTGATGCACCTTAATATACGTATACATACATACACTGAGGGAAATAATGCATAGTAAAAATGAATACTTTATATTTGATTATCGTTTAAAAATGTTCGTGTTTAAAAATAATATTTTCATACAAAATTTATTACGCACGTATTTGACTGTTCACATCGGAGTATATATATGAGTATCCATATGCACCCCAAGAATGCAGAGCGCCGCTGTGACAACACACACATTCATACATATATATGTTTATCCGTACAAATCGCGCGCTGTGGTTGATGCATATTCAACATTTGAAAGCAATTTCATATGCCTGGGTGTAGCTGAGTGCGCAAAGATGCTTGCCACAAGTTGTTGATATCCGGAGATGGTCGGGTTCGAATTCCACTGCAGGCAACATGCAAATAAATTTTTTTTTTTAGTTGTTGTCTTGGATTATTCACTTCACGGATGCTTTTTCAGTACGAACGCGGTCATTTTAATATGCGCGTAATTGAATTGAATATTTACCAATATACAGTACTTTCGTTGACGTTTATAGCAAGATCAATTACGTTTCTATTTGATTTTAATATTTTTGCCCTCAGTGTACGTATGTATTTACATATGTACATGCTAACTTTAGTAATTTTACATGACTTTTGTGTGCGATTAGTGTGGATTCCAGGGATATTTGTGCATTTATACCAACATATGTATATACACTCGTCATACATACATATGTACAAATGCACAGATGTGGTAATGTGTGCCATACATACAAGTGCAAATTATGCTGTTTATAGACTCGAAAACTACTGAACCGATTGAGTTCAAATCCATAGGGTACATTTGTGCTGAGATTATAGCAAGTTTTGGCTATTTTTATTTAGTTTATTTAATGTTTATTATTTTTTAAAGGAAATATAGCTGATTACTCAACAAAAACCATTTAAGTCTCAATTTCAAACTTTGTGCAAAAACTAACTTTTAACTTTTTAATCTGCGTTTTTACAAAATGGTTTGTATGCAGTTTTGTAGTCCATTAAAATTTAGTATAATTGAAAATTTGAAGTAGCTAGGACTTACCGTTGGGTTTTGTAATTTTTTTATAACGGTGTTACGAATTTTTTCTATACAAAGTATGTTCTAAAATTTTTTATATGGAATAAAATGCGGAACATCGTTAACAAAATGTTGCCGAAAATTCAGCCGGCTAACTTAAATTTGCACTTTACTATACTAAAATTTTAAATAAAAAAAATGCAGAACTTTCATAACTTTTTCATAAAATATGAAATTTGGATTTAAATGGTGTTTGTAAGTAATCAGGGTGGAGTGCAATAAGGCTCGCGGAAATAACGCCCATGGGCTTTATTTCCCAAAAAAAAAGAGAAATAAAGCCCATGGGCGTAATTGTTAATAAATGTTTTTATTCAAAATACAAATCATCAAACATTGCTTTCTCTAACCACATTATAAACGGCCTCAAGCCCAATAAAATCGTTGAATATAATAGTTATAAGGGCATAAATAACAAAAACAAATAACTTAGGGACGAGAAAACCTAAAAGTAAAATATTCTAAAAAATGAAAAATAAATAGAATATGAACAAAAACCAACAAAAACAACAACCACATGATCAAGTGAAAACAGCAGCGGGATAGCTGCGCTTGATTGTAGTTGGGATAACACTAGGGTTGCCAACCGTGCTATAATATATAGTATTTTACTATTTTTGCGGTCGTCGTACTATATACTGTTGGAAAAAAATATAGTACGCAATAATACTATATTTTATATATTTATATTTTCAATTATAATTATAAATATATTTCAGTAATTTGTACGAAAAATGTGTATTAAAATGGATGACCTTTATACTGAAATAAAAATATTGAATGAATTATTCTTTAAAGTAAAAGGTCATTGTGAGTTTATAATCAAAAAAGGTAACGTATTTAAAAAAAAATTTAAAAAGAATTAAAAAATTTGCTCTCTATTCCAAAAACTTCGGCATTCACAAGAAGAACTTTTTCCATCAATTAAAAATCGTTTTTACTTTTTATTTTAAATAAAATACTATATATATTCGAAGTGTACTATATTTTTTCAAAAAGTACTATAAATGTTCTCGAAAATGTTGGCAACCCTAGATAACACATGGAAAAAGAGGAAAAAGCAACAACAGTTTACGTGGCGAGCTTAGCTAAGTGGTTAGACCACTAGGCTTTGTAATCCGTGGTCGTTGGTTCATACTATATCAGTGATGGCGGTCGAAGAAGTCTGATGCGGAGATGTGCTGATCAGCCATAACTTCTACCCTTTTGTAAATCATTATTTTAACACCATTTTTTCATTATAAATGGCCTCTAGCTCAATAAAATTCTTCAATCTAACCACAAAATATCAAACTCAAAATAAGAATACGCTGCTATTATATGGAACCCTATCTATAGCTGTCATGCTGCCAAAATCGAAATAGTGCAATGAAAATTCGTTCGTTTTGCTTCAAATTTTTTGCTGAAAATTTTTCTCAAACCCTGAGATTTTTGTGGCCCTGAGATTTGATCGGAATCTGAGGGTGAAAATTCCAATATTCGTATACAACTTTTTCGCATAATCACAACAGGCCTTTGAATTATTGAGCTGACTATAGTTTTTGTACTTATGTATGTATATTTTTAACAGTATAAAACGAAACCAAACAAACAGTGACCTTTTAAGTTCTCGGCGGGAGTTAAGTAAATAAAATTCCGAGATATTCGACTCAACGATTTATTAGATAGTGCGCTACATTAATGCTCTTTCGAATCAGCTCCATGCCTATATGAAAACTAATGTGGAAAATAAAGAAAATAAATTTCCGATCTTTAGAATTAACGTGCATACTATGTATGCGCAAGAATGTGAAAATTAACGAAAATTTTAGAACCATGAAATAAACAGTCAATGAATTATACACAAACACAAATGAAACACGCAATGCACAAATGTACATGAAAGCGATTATGATATGGAATGCGAATAATAAACATAGGGTGCATATATATAGTCTAAATATATATGTAGCTCTGTACACACATGCTAAAAGAAATCAAGATGCTCATATGAATGGAGGAGCGCCAAGTGAAAGAAAATGAACTATGGAAAATAATTATTTTACAAAAAAAAACTACAAAAACAAAAAAAAACCAAACAGATATTGTACATACCTGTCTGTTTAACCGACAATGGCGAGCCATTCGCGAACGGAATCAGCTTCGGTGATTTAGAATCACAAATCCTGCTGCCATTGAAGTTATTATTGGAACCTCTTGTAGTAGTGGTGGTTGCCTTGTAAGTTGCATTATAACACGCCGAGCCGCTATCAATGCCGCTACTGCTGTTGCTGCTGCTATCCATCGAAGCGCTATTGCTGCTGGTTGGTGTCGCGACCTTGGTGGCGCTTCTGGCCGCTGGCACTGGTCCCGGCACTGGAGTTGTGGAACGCGATCTTGTGGAATGAGAATGGTTGGATATCGAATCAGATCTGGTTCTTTCCGCATCCGAGCCATAATCTGAGATGGCCAAAGTTTTACTTGAAACATAGCTGATGGACTCAATGGTAGTCTCCCATTTTTGATATGTGTTGATGGTGTCGCTCTTTAGGGTGCGTTTGGCGGGGCGAATCGGTGAGTAGTGCAGCGATGTGGTTGAGGTGGCTGAGCCGAGTGGGGAAGATGCGCCCTGCGAGTTGCCCGAAGACGAAGAGAACGATGATGATTTGTGAATTTTATGTACGATTTCACGTTGAGGCGATGGCGAGTGTTCCGCATCGTTGCGGGCGGCGCCTTCTTCATGTGTCTCACTTTTGGCCCGCGATCGGCTGTTTAGTCCACTTACGCTTGAATCTTCAGTAATCAGCAACGAATCGGTTTGTGTGCCTTGATCTGCAAACATAAAATTGTACTATTTATTACAAAGAAATGTTATTAGAAAATTTGCAATTAGCGTTATTTAAGAATCTTGTGTGACATTTCCGCATGCGACAATTGCTAATTTAGCTAATTATACGTCAACTCAAGTTATCGGAAAAGTGCTGTGATTTGTATGAATTGCAAATTTAATTTCGAGGCAATTTGATGAGAGTTTGCAATCGACGATATTCATTTGCAATGGGACTTGCATTTATAATATGTAAGTAAATTGAGAAACCACGGAGATCTAGCAGCTGTACAAAGATTTTGGCTCGCGGACAGGCAATAAAATTAGCACATTGCTTAAGCGCAATGATATAAATTTTTAAGAATGTATTATGATAATTAAAAAAAAAATTAATTCGAACTGAAAGTGCAAAGTTTCTTAATATTTATTTCACTTCCTGAATTATTTCAGGGATTGAATTTTTATTTTTTATTTTCAATTTAACACGAATTCTTTCTGCGAATGCTTATAAACATCCATGTGATATATCTACCTATATATGTATGTATGTGTGTATCCTATTATTCTCAAGTTTCAGTTAAAATTTGTGATAACATAAGACTTTATCCCTCATAAAGACCACTACGACTGTATGTGTGGTCTTGAGAGATCAATTTGCAGAAAGCATCGATGAGAAGAGAACGAAGAAAAAGCGTATAGTATCGGATTTCGATATGAAATTGTTGCAGTCGCGGTTTAAAACAAAAATAGATGATTCATGAATTCAATAAACTCCGGCTCGCGACTGATAATATGAAGATAAATGAAAGTAAATGGCTATGTCGGCGAAGAATGGTCTTGGAGTTTGTCTGCTTATATCCCGAATATCAGGCCTAACATAATCAACAAAATCATAAGAAAGGTCGATAGAAATTCCGCCACAAACGTACTCGTCATGCAATTCTTTACGGCTCTTAACGTCAGCTTAAGCTTGTGGAAGCTTTCAATGAATTCCGAACTGCATATGAAATGTAAGCGGAGATGGTATTATGTTTAAGTGATATAAAAGATTCCAGATTCGAAATTTTTCCATAGATTTTGAGCCTCGAGAAGGGCGTCCAAAATCTTCAACCGACGAGACAAACTTTCCCATGGTGAGAAAGTTCGACAACGGCGAGTCTATCAGCTCTACTATGATCGCAATATGTGATGAAGCTTGGTTTTATAAGCATGACACGGAAACTATCAAATAGCATTAAATGGTATGGGGACTCCACAAGAAGTTCTACAGCGAACTTGCTTCTCGCTTTGTAAAGCCAGGCACCAAAAGTCAGCAAGGAAGGTGATGAACTCAGTTTACTTCACCGGAGAAAAATATATAACTCCTCAGAGCGAGATAGATCTTTCATGGTTATGCGAGCCCAGTTTCTTAAAACTTGCAAATGTTTAGTCACATAATTTTAATAAGTAGAACACAAGAAAATATTGTTTTTTTATTTTTGCCACTCCAAATTTACTTTTGGAACTCACCCGCGATGCAAAATGACATCGTTAGACTTAATCTTAACATTTTTTGATGAGCTTTGGGAATATGTTAGAAATGCGCATCGGGGGTCCACCGAAACCAGTAAAGTTTTGAAAGGGGTCTACGAGGAAAATAAGTTTGGGAGCCTCTGCTTTAGATCGTGGGCATAGATCAACTGCCAAATGGTATACTAAAAATTGCTAACCCACAGTGTTGGAAAATTTGTTGGGGAAATCGACAAGGGAATTGACTAGGAAGGATATACACATTTTAAATAGAGCTAACAGCAGCTTAACCAATTGTTATCTTGCAAGTCACAATCGACTTTGTTCGCATGTGCATGTATTGTTTAAAATGTCACCTCTGGATTGAAATAATTGAAATGTCGGAGCATATATTGCGAAAGTCGCAGAAATATAATTACATTTAGTACTGGCCCGGTACTAAATATGGGCCGAGCCCATCTTCTTCCATAAAAAAAAATTCTAAATGAATTTCCAACATACTTATACTTATTCAGTGCCTTTAAAATTACTAAGTATTCTTACTTTTATTCTAGTGTTGCAGTTTTTGCAAAAACGATTCACGATGTGCAAGGGCTAAAACTAAAAGAGCGCATAAAACTGAAGGAGAAAAATAGTAGCGAATTAGAGTAGTATGTGGTGCCAGCCTATGATTTGTGGAAGTATCATCGATAACTCGTTTGGAAACAGAAGAATCAAAAACAAGTAAACGTTGAGCCTTTTAATTGCCTAACGTCTCCTGTTTCAGCACTTTCAAGTAATATGTAAATTTTTTGAATTTTGAATGAAGGAACTCTAATTTCCCAAAAAAATAGTTGTTCTGTACTGTAGGCTTTTGTATTGTAAAGGTCCGTAAACAAATATTTCTCGACTAAGTACTTTTGAGTACAAGTAGAATCTGGCGCTACTTTGAGTAGCTTCGAGTATTTTCCCCTATATTTTTAATGAGTACAGACATCGAGTACATGGTGGTATCGGACGAACACTAGCTATTTACACTGTTGTTTTAGTAAAAAGGCGTTCCATTAAGCTCAAATGGGGTGTATGCAAAAAACTCTTCTTCTATTGATTTTCGATTTTCCCTATTGTAAATAATCTCGACTCCAATTCGAGTTTAAAAAGTTGCATGAATGATGGACAAATTATTACGATTCAAATATTAGATATATACCTTGTTTATACCAACACATAAAGCGCTTTGACCCAGTTCGCTGTGATTCAAAACGGAAGCATAAACCAACTTTCAATACGCTAAGAAATCCGAAAGTGTATTGACTCGAATTTGTTTTCAAATCGCTTTTTTATTTCTCATATCGGTTAGAAAACAGGTAGAAACAAATCACTCATTTGACGCGAAGTGAAAAAAGGCTGGTTTTCTTTATACAGCCCGTTTTAAATTTGAAGTATTATTATAACAAATTTGAATTATTTTGGCTTCCATTTCGGATACCGCGCAAATTAATTATTTAAGAAATATCGAATAAAAATAACAAATTTTGTTTACTTTTGAATACGGGTTCAGCGAGTGCGCTATAACTACACAGGTATAAATGCTTGAAAGAAATATGTGTTGAGGCAAATCAGCTTTTTGGTAATGCGGTTCTTGCGTAGGTATAAGCAAGGTAACATTCACAGTACATTTGCTTGTATATGAAATGTATTTCTGGAATATTCGGTATAATTTTACAATTTCATAATGTAGGACGCGCAAAATATTTATGAAATTATGGCGATCTTCAGCTCTTTCATCGATTTTCATTATTCATAAATAATGTATTTTAAAGGAAAGAATCACCTGTTATTTCTGGTTAATAAGCTCTCGATTTGGTTTCCTTGCAATAAATGCTACCATTTATTAGTTATTGTCGCAAATCTTTTAAAAGCATATAATATATGGGGCGTTCCATACCAAAATGGACGGGGTTCACACTTCATGTGTTTGATTTGTTTACAATTTTTAGGGTAGACGGACAATCATAAATAATAAATAAATGTGAAATTTGAGTTTGATTAAAACATTTTTAAGAACTTTACGGCACAAAAACAAAAATAGATCGATTTAATAGTTTTCCAAATATCTCAAGAACGGGGCGAGGAGAAAATTAAAAAAAAATCACACATACACACATCAAAATTTTCTATAAAAAGAAATATTTTTAACATTTCTTTTCTTGAAAAGTTTTTCACATACAAATATGCCATCTCAAAAAAAAAACTGAAAAAAATGACAAATGTAGCTCTGAGTATTGCGCAATATTTAAGTATAATATTAGAGGGTGCACGCTACAATAATTTGAGTTATGATTTTTTTACAACGAAGTTGAGTAAAACGAGTACAATACAAATCTAAAATTTTTTTTTAATTTTTTGGAGTATGCAGTTTTGTAGCCCATTAAATTTTAGTAAAGTGCAAGTTTAAAGCTAATGAAAAATTACATTTTTAATATTTTTTATGCCTACGGCTTTCTGCATTCTTTTCTTATGGAAGAAAATGCGCAAACCCGTTTTCAAAGAAAATTAAAAAAAAAATAACGACAGTTTTGCAATCGCTTAAAACTTGCACTATATTACTTATACTAAAATTTAATGGGCTACAAAACTGCATACTCAACAAAAAAATCTAAAAAAATTGTAAATTTGAAATGTACTCATTTTACTCAACTTCGGTATAAAAAAAGGTCATAACTCAAATTGTTATCCAGTGCTCCCCGTAATACTGCACTTAAATATTGCGCCATACTCAGAGCTACCATTGTGTCTTTTTTTTTATAAAAAAATGTGAAAATTTTTTAGAGAAAAAGAAATAAAAAAAGATTATTTTCATAGAGAATTTTGATATTTGTATGTGTGATTTTTTTTTTCATTTTTTCCTCGCCCCGCTCTCGAAATATTTGGAAAAGTATTAAATCGATTTGTTTTTGTTTCTGTGCTGTAAACTTTTTAAAAATGTATTAATCTAGCTGAAATTTCACATTTATTTATTATTTATATGTACTTTAATAATTTGAAACAAATCAAACACATGAAGTGTGAACCCCATCCATTTTGATATGGAACGCCCCATATACATACATATGTACTTATGTATAAAAACACCCTTTCGCAATTAGTTCTCTTGAAAATATTGCACTTTCTAACAATGTTTATGGTGAAAAAAAAAATCAAAAGCAAATAAAAATAAAGTTGGTGCTATTTTTGAAATGTTTATGCCAAAAATCCGTAAACATTTCCAACGTTGCACATATCGCGCAACGTCTTCAAAAGTGACACAACTCAAAATAACACGTTTGTCAGAAAACGCGGAAAACCTTTCCTAACACATGATAATCATATGGGCAAAGGAGACTTTACCATAGGTTTTTTTTAGCAAATTATAACAAAAATTTGCTCCGGCTTTTGCTGAATGGTAAATAAAAGCTTTGTGTACATTTTTAGCGCATAATTTCAAAAATACCGAATTTTGTGTTCTGCCTCGTTTGAAGACGGTGTGCAAACAAAGCAATTATAAAATTGGAATTTTTTTAAACAAATATTTTTAAAAGCACATCTGAAAATTGATATTAAACATACTAAACACGTAAGAATGCATGAAGACGCCTTGAAAATTTCCGTTATTGATTTGAAATTTCGCAAATAATCGGTAGTGAGGACGCCCGAAAATTTTATTACAAAGTTAGGTGACTTAGGAAAGGTTTCAAGACAACCACGGCGACCTAAATACAGATGTCCAGAACATACATACGAAGGGAGGGAATAATTTTCCACATGTTTAATGGTAGCCGTACCGAAAGCAGTAGAGAAGATGCCGAGCCCCCCAGTCAATGACAACGGAAGCGATCAACGCCCGACTATGACGAGGTGCGCATGGCAATTTCGCAACTGATAAACAACTTAGCTGCTGGACCTGACGATCTGCCAGCTGAGTATGGCGGTGTGGGGTTGATAACCGTAGACGGCGGATGCTCAAAAGATGATTATATTTTTGTGAGAAGCGGTTTTTTCATGGCAGAAATACATTGGGAGATAGAGCTGTAAAACTATCGATAGTCATCCCATTCGAAGTTTTCGATAGTTTGCATTGAAACTATCGATAGTATCGGACAATTTTTAAATGCATTGACAAAGTTATTTATAAAAAAAAAAANTACATATAATATAAACAATAAATATATTTCCTCAAACAAAGACTATCGATAGTGGCCAACGACCATTCGATAGCATCGATAGGACCATCGATAGTTTTACAGCTCTATTGGGAGGTTTGCCATTAGAATGAGATTGCCTGTGATTATTTGCTGCCTTCAAAGATTAAGTAATGGCTTCTTCATTGAAAGAGTTACAAAACTATTTACTGACTGTCGTATTTTAATTTACGATTAAAAGCTCCAAGTACTGGTGTCCACATATGATCTTATGTATTTACAATGATATCTATAGTGCTTATCAGAATTATACGCCACCCAACACATTAACAATTTTTGACTTTAAAGTTTTTTTTTAATATTTAATTTTAATTATTTTTATGAAAATATAGTTTATTCTTTAACAGCTGGGACTTACGGTTGATTTTTGGCAATTTTTTCTATTGAAGCTGTCGCTAATTTTCTCCATATAAAAAATTTTCGAACATACAAAACGAGAAAATGAGCGATACTTTCAACAAAAAAAGTGCCAAAAATCAATGGTAAGCCCTAGCTACTTCAAGCATGCAATTTATTATTAAATATTGTACAAATTTTAAAACTTGGATCTATAAGATGTTTGCTAAATAATAAACTACGTTTTCATAAAAAAATTATCAAAGTTAAATTATAAAAAAATTAATAGTCAAAACTGTGGGTGGTGTATAATTATGATAACCACTATAGCACTTTTAAGAAATATGCGGCCAGAAAAGCAATATGAAATGAAAATAACATTTTTTTCTAGAGGACGTTTTCAATTCTACTTTTGTTAGGAATTTATGCTTGTGAGCGTTATGTCGACGGGCTTGAGTGACTG